ATTATCTCTTATCCAAAGTCCTTTAAATATGTCGTTTACCCGAATGATCATTAGACAAACTTTACACTTTATTTCACCATGGTATATTTTATTTATTTGAACACATAAACATGGGTACAAGGAGGCATCAAATACATATGCGACACACAATAACAATGAAGCTAGTAGCAGGTATCATTCATTTGTGTGAAGGATGTGATGCCGCCCAGGTGCCCAGATCGAAGCAGTTAGTTTTCAAAGGGGGCCAGTCCCCGAATCTTTAACCTAAAGGTTTAATCCACAAGGCAATGGAGCAACATCAGGAGATACGATCTCATCGTATCCGGTGACCAATAATTGGTTCATACGCCAGTTGTTCCCTTAGGATTAGCGAGCCCATGTGCACCATCGGTATAGAATCAGGATCTTCTAACTCCCCTGTTTAGATCCTCCATATTCACTAAGCCGGTTTGATCGGTGAATATTCGCTTTTCATCCTCTTGATTTCGTAAACAACACTCTCGCCTTGAAAAGGTAGTAAATAGGACTTTTCTGACAGTGACTGTATACGTGTGGCCATATGAGAGCATTTGAAGATAGTGAGTTGACCCTCCCTACTCTCGACCGTACCAGAGCATTGCGGAATATATCATGAGAAAAAAAAAAGAAAAACTGACTTTATATTTATTTGTACAATAGAAACTCATTAATCTTAAGATGTTTTTCTCTTGTCCCTTAGTAATAATCAAGCACAAAATATGCATATAATAAAAGAAAACACGTAGTTATGCTGAAAATGTATATGACTCATGAATCAACTAAGCATTCTGATTGTAATCGACGCCAAAATATTCACATTAACCATATATACATAAAGAATAACTTCAAGTGTTTTCTTTCCTCCTACTTATGTACATAGTTTTAGTAGAGTTAAATTAAATTATTATTAGAGTATTTGTCATTTATTTTATTAGAGATTATTTACTGTCTGAAGAACTAAACAAGTCTTCAATGGGAAACTTTCTCTCTCTATCTCTATCTCTATAGATTATGTATACATTTTCCACTTTAAAATTTGAAGTGAAAAATGTAATGAAAATTCATAATAGAATAGACAGCATACACATTTACTGATGAATAGGGTCTGTTAAATCTAGAGCTTAGATTCTTGATATACCGCGTATAACTTTAGCACTAGAACTCTAGAACATTCCAAAGTTGCAAGTGAGAACACAGAAGACGAATAAGAAGGAATGTTTTTTCGAACTGTGTCAAATGCGGTATAAAACTCTTAGGTATTTACAGATTTTAGTAAAAGTGAAATCAACATTATCGTCATTTAATCCATGTGTAATGGTTTTTAACTTTTGTTCGATACGAAAGTTACACGTTAATACTCTGGAATTTTTTTTCAAAGAGTGGTTGGATGGAATGTCTTCAGCTCATTCTGAGCTTCTTAGAACTTCCTCGAATTCACCTGTAGGTCATCCTTATAGGTTTATACAAGAAAATATAAACAACCGAAAATCTCATCTCAATACTAATATATATGAATCATCATGTATGAAGATATAAACAGACAGTGAGGAAACGAGTAAAAAGACTATGACATTAGTCAATCACCATTATTATAATTGAATATATTTGAAAGATATATAGATAGTTAACGTAAACTCGGGTAAGGTTAACGAGTTGGTTACATTTAACAAAACCACACATTGGTCATGTAAAATATCAAAATCATACATTTTTTACATAATTTATGAATTTTCCTTGAGTTGTTTATTACATAACCCATCATTCTTTCAATCTTATCATTATTCTAATTACCTCCTCTTTCCTTTCTCCTTCTATTTATTTCAATATATTTTGTTAATAAGCATTTCAATTCTCATTCTTGCTACATACTACTTATGTTTGTCCGCATAAGTAACTCACACTACAGGTACATAGATTATTACACAGATTGAAATCATGAGTCAATTGAAGCTAGACTACCATGGAAAATCCGGAAGCACTAGACGGCCGTTTCGTCCTAGTTTGGGACTCCTCAGCCGTGCGCATCCACGATCCCGCACCCCGCGGGATTCGAACCCATGACCTATCAATCAGGTCTGTTGTGAGATATCAGCTCACTCATGACAATTGTGTGCGGTGGCGCAACTTCGTGAATTGGTTGAAGTTAGACATTAACATCGTTAGATGCCGGACGTCTCAGTGGTCTAGTTGGTTAAGCGCTCACGCGCGAGACCGATGGGTCTTGGGTTCGAATCTCGCGGGGTGCGGGATCGTGGATGCGCACGGCTGAGGAGTCCCACACTAGGACGAAACGGCCGTCTAGTGCTTCCGGATTTTCCATGGTAGTCTAGCTTCAATTGACTCATGGTTTCAATCTGTGAAATTTCTAGAAAAAGTCCCCACAAACCCCTTCACATAGATTATTAGATAGAATAATGAAAACGTTGTCTAATTTGTGGAAAATTAAGAAATTGCTAGAAAATGGAAAAATATGGCAGAGAAAAGAACTTGTCCTAAATAAACATTCTATTTATAATAGTGAGTAAACTGCTATAGAGATGAAAGAATTGTCCCATTTTCGTTAAGAATACTAAAGTTTTATGAACAAAGATGGATGGTGGCTGGCAGTGAAAACAAGGAAGTGTGCTTCCTTTTATATGGGAATCGTGAGCAACATGTACCTTCATCTCACAGCGAATGTTTACTCTGAATCTCTAACACAGTACCGTTCGTTCCAAACTCCATCACGCTATACACTTAGTTACTGAGTTCTAATACCTACTAGCTTGTGCAATGAGGTGGGGTACTGGGTTTGAGTCCTAAAATGAACATCAAGTGTGGGATGCAAATACCTCCATCTGACGAATCTCAACTACAACGAAACGCTGCTAGCCATCATTCATCTATACTGATAAAGCTTGTGACTTCAGGGAATATCGAGGTAATCCTCACACTATGCACATATGCCAATAAGAGACTGATCAATTGCGGTCCTAAACTACAATGGGAAGATACCAAGTGAATTTAATACTAAAGTTTCATTAAGAATTATTAACGTGTGCATTTTCTCCAATCAAATTTTTCTAATGATTCTTTTCTTCTCTCTTATTGATTGACACTACTTTTAGTCTACAAATTTCCTGTATACTCCGAGATTGTGATTTTGTTACCGTATATAATTACTCAAGTTATTCTGTTTAAATATCGAGCTTTTCCTAAACATCGTCTTCTATTTCTGTTAGCAGCTGATTTTCGAAGTGTTGTCTTCAGTGAAATCATTTGCAGTGAAATACATAGGCCATTCTTAAATCTACACGTATAGTAAATCAACCGGATAGTTGTTATTATCATAGCTTAACATGAACGTTAAAAACTGAGCATACATCTTTTAGGAAAGAAGATAGATTCTGAAATTTCAGGTTTCTATATATCTAGTTCATTTTATTTAACTTTTTAAAATAGAAATGAAACCAGAAGCTGTAGCTGCATTCCAATTATAATCATTTTGTTAAGTTTACATAACTTAATAAAAACAAGGATATTCACTTGATGTTGTTCTACTTGTATCTTCCCTGTTGTCGTTTACGACTGGAATTGATCAGTCGCATGTTTGCATTTGTGCATCCTGTGCTGATTGATTCGATATTACCTTAATTCACAAGCTTTACAAGCAAAGGTGAATAGTGGGCAGCATTGGAATCCAAGACGAGCGTTGCGTTCTATTTAGGAATTGTCAAATTAAAGTACCTGCATCCGGCTGACGAGTCCAAAATAGGACGAAACGCGTGTCAAACTGGATTCCACCGCTAGCCATTATCCATTTTTACTTAAACAGATAAGTATATGTTGTCTGCACCACTTGGTGTATCGTAGCAAAGTACACTTTTAGCATTTCAATCTTCCTTGACCATTTAAAGAATCTTTTCATATTTATCAATATAACCGAAAATCAAAATCGAAATTACTAGCACTTGATTTGTACAGGGTCTCTTGGAGTTCGTTCGACATTTTATTATCATAAACCGACGTGAGTCAAGGATCCGCCAAAAACCAAGGTGCATTTAGTAGATGCTTCATACTAACACTCAATTACTTAGTGATACGTATCCATGAATAAATTGGATATTAAACGCAGAACCTCCAGGTTAATGATTTGTTTTTGACAACTAGATCATTAAGCCGGTATCCGTCAATGTATATATCTAACTCCAATTTGCTACGTTATTCACTTACTGAAGAAAATGAAATATAGTTGTTTAATAGGACGTATTGACTGAAGTTAGGCTTATGCACAATTGAATACCGGTTAAATAGTTTAAAGATTCACCACCGGACACAGTTAGTGTTAATGCCGTGGATGTACATTCCCGAAAAGTAACATACTAGTACAAATCGGCTGTTTGGTCTTCCTAGATCCTCATTATATCCCTAACTAAGATCATTTCGTGATATTAATAATATCAACACTGTTTGATTCACTTAGAAATTTTGTGAATTGATGTTTTTCGTTTAAACTAATCTTTTAGTATTCAGGGCTTTTGTGATTGATTTCAATCAGTGATGAAAGATCATCTCGAGTTAATGAATTTTCACAAACATTCATTTAAGTATCTAATCTCCTGAAAACAAAATATTAGATGTAACGATTGCTAACGAATTATGGTCTAAAAGTGACGTTTAACCAATGCCGGAGAAAGTATATCTCATCTCTATGAGATGCTTTTCCCATAGGAAAATAAAAAATTCTAACTGCGATTAATCCCTTTAATCAAGTTACCTTTTTTTCAAAAAAAAAACAAACGGAAACATTCAGACATGTATTTTGAGATGATGAAGATTTGTAGCTGAGGTAAATAATTTTGATGGAGTTTCGTTTCTCTATGCTGAATGTTTTGATCGTGAAGCTTTTATCATTAGCACAAACGTCAGATAGAAGTGAAGTGTGCGATATAATTTACACACTTTTTTTGTATTATTTATATTTAATTTTGTTATTCTTACAGATAACCCAAGCAAAATGTATCGATATGGTGTGTTTCGACAGACATCTTTACTTGTTTGTCTTCCAGACCTTATGCAATTACATTGTCCAACACATATGTATATTAGAACATTAGAAATTGAAGTGTTTCATAGTTTTCAAACAACTCAAGAACCAGAATTCATTAGTCCAAGTTGTTCATTTAAAACAAATCAACCTGAAAAAAAGAGAAAACATGAATTAAACATAAAACAAACCATAGAATGTAACAATAAATTGAACATAGTTAAAGTATGTTTAAATTATGGATCTTTTATAGTTTTGAAAAGAGTTTAAAGTAGTTTATGATTATTTATTTCAACACATAAACATTGATACAAAGAGGGATCAAATAAACATGCACCACACAAGTCATTTGAATGATATGAGGGCTGTGATACTGCCTGAGTGCCCAAACCGAAGTAGGCGGTTTTCTTAGCTGGCCACACCCAAAGCCTTTGACTTAAATGTATAATCCACAAGGCAGTGAAGCAATGTAAGGAAATACAATCCCAATAATTGTTTCATACGCTATCTGTTCCCTCAAAATCTTGGAGCCCATATTCTTGACTGGTTTGGAATGAGGGTATTCCAACTCCCCTAGGTGGATCATCCATATCCACCAACCCCGTCAGAGCACTGACATCCACTTTTAGTCCTCCCAATTTCGCAATCAATACCCCAGCGGCGAGAAGGCAATAAGTAGAATTTCCTTGATAGTGGTTACATGCACGTGGCCAGGTGAGAGCATATGGAGAGGGAGAGCTGACTTTCCCCACTCTCAGCCGTACCAAGACATTTGAAGGCTCGAAAATAGCTACATAATACTGATCGATACCAATTTATGGGAAAAACTAAATGACTTTGTCATTTTAACTTATAATTAGTGTGGATAATTTCCGAATGAACAGTATATCAGAATAACTTATTCTACAGTAGGAAGATCAGTCAGCGAGATTTAATAATAGTCTATGAAATTTGCATTTCATAGTTTTATACTTGACCTCTGTTATTTAGAGGTTAACATATAGTTTTTCTTCATAGATTAATGATATTCAAAGGGCCTCGTTTTAATTTTTTCACCTTCTATGTAATGTATCGGTCTTTACTTTCATTCGATTCAATTCATTTTATTTATTTCAACTAAATAACAATTACAGACTATCTTATAGACACGTCTTACTTGTTGTAAGAAGGTACTTCAACACTTTGACATCCGTTTTAAAAGTAGGCATAGGCTTTTCAACCAAACATTCCGAGGTTGAAAGTAGAGCATTAAAACCATATAATTTCTCTTCTCTTAAAATGACGACAGTTGATTGAACCAACGACATTTACTATGCTTCATTATCAAGTAACCTTTTTCATTGTTACACTCCTGAATATTCCCCTAATTAATCTGTGCGTACTGTCTCGATATTGCCTTAATTCACAAGCATTATAAACAAAGATTTATAGTGGCTAGCAGTAGAATCCAGTTTGATGCGCATTCCATCCTATGTGAGACACTCTAGCTGTCAATAAGAGACTGATCTTTGTAGTTCTAAACACCAATTTGGAAGATGCAAATAAACAATACCAACTGAATTTAGTTTCACCCCATTACACAAGTAAGTAGCTATCAGGACTCAGTAACTAAGTGAATAACGCAATGGCGTTTGAAGCAAACGGTACTGCGTGAATTTAGTGTCATCCATAAATTATGGCCTCATCATATCAACTTATTGCATATATTCAGTTATAGTACAGATAAACTTATACATAACATTCAATGATTTTATACTTGTGATTTTAGATGATTAAACAAATGTGTGAAGGAAGAAAAAATTGTGAACTACATATATCTCAATTAATACCTAATTTAACTCAATGCTCCGAAGAAAATAGTTCTATTCTTATTAAATATCAATGTTTACCTGGTGAGTATGTACCTTGTCATTTTGTATGCTGATATGTATGTTAGTTAAGTCATTACGAACAGATATCATTCTTTGATATTCTATGTTTCGTTTATGGAACATATATCCTGGATAAAAAAATAGGCAGCGATGGTGGTTAGTAGTGAAATTCGGGACTTACATTTTCTTTGATTTGGAACTCGTCAACTAGATGTAATTGCATCCCAGAGTTGATATTCACTTCGAGACTCGGACTCAGTTTGTCAATAAAAAGACAAATATCTAAGTAGTGTATCTTTTTTCTTTGAAGTTATTAATTATCCGTGTATATGCAAAATGTTATCTTCTTATTATTCATAGTGATTATTCATAGATACAAACAATCTACTTTAAAAAATGACCGCTTATAAAGCTCAGCATTTATGCATGAAATCATTACAATTCTCCATTATTTCAATCTACTTATTACATTAATAAATTATGGATAGTCGCCAACAGTGGAATCCAGGATACGCGTTTCATCTTATTTGTGACTAATTTGGACGAATCATGTGTTAAACTGGATTACACTACTAGTCACCATTCATCTTTGTTTATAATACTTGAGATATGAGACAACATCGAGGTAATCCGCACAAGATGCCCATATATCCATAAAAGACTGATCAATTGCAGTCTTAAACATCAAAGAGGAAAATTCAAACAAGCAATACAAAATGAATTAGAACAACTCTAGAGTATGACGATAGTCAATAGAATTTGGTTAACATGTTACTTACTTAAGCATTGACTTCAACTTATCTTTGTCTTTTATACTGACATCTATTCACAAAGTTCTTTGAAAAACTAGTGGTAAATCATATATTGGCTTGTAGGAGAAGTATTAATAAACATGAATATTCTAAACCTACTTTTCACATTTCAATCAAAAGATTTACTGTTATTTTGTTTACATTTTAGATCTTGATTCAGCTTTATCTGAAGCAATCTGTACAGATACATATATGGAAGTAAAATGTAATACAGAACGTTCTATAAATACACTTGTTATATTGAATGCGAAATTTGAAAAAGAAATTAAATTATTTGATAGTAGTTCAACTTATGAATGTCCAATTGTTCCAACTGAGATACCAAGTTAGTTAATGTTATCAATAATTGTTTTAAAAGTGAGACTATTATTTATGAACGACCTTTGAATGAATCTTAAGCAACCTTGAGGAGTATCAGACAATCAGAAAACAGTTAGCATATAGTAAAAATATATTATACAAAATCAAAGTGTTAAAGTGGATGCACTTCGTTTTCATGGTTAAATACTTTTCATGGTTAGAAGGGAATTCTAAAATTATAATCCAGACGATAGAGGAGCTCATCCATATGGCTGCATAATAGTCAACCACTGGAGTCATGATAAGGTCCTAAAAGCTTATAGCCCCAATCATATAGCTTCAATATTGTTTTTGTGCACTCCAGTTGTTCGGTCCACAAAATAGCGCTTGTAGACAACGACACGATGCACATAACCAAATCTATGTAGGCATTAGTACGCTTTCCAATCATCGGTACATATTATAGTACCCGGCAGCACGCATTCCCGTATAATTGGTATTATCGTTGTAGCCCGTGGGAAGTGTCCCTTTTGAGGTGACCTGTCGCATATTCCAAGGACCTGTGAGGTATATTTATGGAAGTCCTACTTACCCAATCCTCTTTACCACTACATGCTTTGTCGAATTTTCGTATGCTGAAAACTGTTTCGTCTATTCCATCGATTCTCCTGACTCCCCCAAACGACTCGTGTAAGCTTGTCGATTTTACTGATTACCACAATCAAAAACAAAGGAACTTCTTAGTAGTCCCATTTATTGTAGCCGCTTGATTATCACGTTTCCTCTAAAATCTGCTGTGAACCGATCTTACGTGAGTATCAGGTACTGAAATTAGCGCTGTGATCTTGAAATCCCTGAAACGCTTCTGATTTGTTCCTCCATAAATTATAGTCCTGCCGTATATCAAATCTTCCAGCAGTTATATAAATATAATGTTCAAATATGACAATCACATTAATTATGAGATTACTGAAGGAAAATAACTGAATAATTAATTATTTTCAGAAAGGGAGTTTTGTGGAATTGATATAAGCTAAACCATCATTAAAAACCTTGAAGCACTGGACAGTTGTTTCGTACAACTATGAAACTTCTGAGAATTGAGCCTCTACAATCCCACACTAAAGGGACTCGAACCTAATACTATCGGTCTCATTCACAAAAGCTTCACCTTTAACCTACTAAGTTGACCTTCATCAATGTTAATGTCTAATTTTTTGGAAATTTTAACGCTGTATTTCATTATCTTCATATATATATTTACCTTATTCATATTCATTAATTTTATTATCTCATTTCTGTCAGTTGGATTATCAAACAATGTATGTTCATCCACAATAGATATTACTGATTATTTGAGCAGTTCATGTGATGGGCATAGTACTTGTTCAGTTAATCCAAATACTATTGATTTATCAATGAATAAAATACAAAAATGTGGAAAAATGCATCTTAGTTTAGTTTATGTTTGTGGTAAGTGTTTTTTTGTTATTTTTGTAATCTAATATTATTATGAACTACATCAACAGATGAAATCCCATGATATCCGGTGATCAACAAATGGTTCATACGCCATTTGTTCCTTCAGGATCCTGGAAACCACATGCAACACTGGTTTGAAATGAGGGTATTCCAACTCCTCTAGGTGTACCCTCCATGTTCACCAACCCGGTTATAGTACCAGACATTCGCTTTTCGTCCTCTCAGTTTCGTAAGCGACATCCCGCGCTACAAGAAAGAAGTGAGTAGGTCTTCCTTGACAGTGGCTGTATACGCGTGGCCATTTGAGAGCATTTCGAGAGAGAGCTGACTCTCCCCACTTTCGGTCGTACCAGAATATTTGGTGGGCAAATTAAATTCAAAATTATCATAGAATACATAACATTAAACGATCAAATCGAATTCTTACTAGATGCCTATCCATTTTCCAATCAATATTTGAATATGTTTGAATAAGCATTTCGTGTAAATTGGACTTGATTATTAAACGTTATATATTCTCTGACACAGACAGTTCATACGTGATTATGCCTCTGATTGTACTATTGTGTATTATGCATCCAAGAGTAAACAATAATGTCATAGCATAATAGTATTTACATTATCGAATCATTTTTACATTGAGGTCAGTTTTCAGCACTACTGAACATTCAGATTATTGATAATTACAAATAAGACGATAAGATTCTCTATAGTTACTTTAATCAATCCATCTATAATGTTAAAATTGATTTCAATACAATTAGTTAGTTATCAACTGAGTTTGTCAATTATATAACTTTAATTTATATATTACTATCATATCCACAAAACCCTTCTGATATGAATCAACATATGCTCACTAGTGACTAGCTTCAACAAGTATTTCATGGAGTTCTAGGAAGAAGCAATGACCAGTGAAGTTCTACCGGGTCTTCTGTGAGATAGTAACTTAATGAAGACAATGGATGATGTGCGGCTCAATTTCGTAGATTAGTTAAAGTTAAACATTAACACCTTTGGATGCTGGCCGGCTCAGTGATCTAGAGATTAAATGTTCGCGAGGTGGGATTGCGGATGCGCACTGCTCAGTAGTTTTATACTGGGGTGAAACGGTAGTCCAGTGCTTCCACTTTTTCCATGGTTGTCTATCTTCAATTGACTCATGATCACAACTACTGAAATCGCTATAATATCCACAGAAACCTTAACTGAAATTTATGTATCAATAATAAGACCACAACTCTTGTAACTCAAAAAAATGTTTATTCCGAAGGGAATGAAACATTTATCCAATGCATTCATCATATATTAGAGATACTTAGTTAAGATAATTATAATCCTTATTAAGAAATTACTAGATTACTGATTAATTGATTGTTATGTAATAATAAATAATGATATTCTATATTTCAAATGATTTGTCAGCGTGAATGAAAATTACCGGGTATTTTTTTCTCCCATGACTGATTTTAATCATTAACGAAACTAATATGTAATCTAGATTTTTTTTTCTTTTTCTCTGTCTCTCTTTATCTCTCGTTGTCTGTCTGACAGTACCACCGGAACTAATTATAACAAAACATTTTATAGATACAAATAATGAACGACATACTGAGAAACAAAAAACAAATCAAAGACAACCTAAAGGTATGAAACGTTAGTTCTACTTTTCCTTTTTTAAATTGAGATATTGATGTGCACTGCTGAGGAGTCCCACAATAGGACCAAACAGCCCTTCAGTGCTTCCAGGTCTTCCATGGTGATCTAGCTTCAATTGATTTATGATATCAATTTTGAAATGACTATAATACCCACAAAAACCCCTTCTGTTTTGTCCTACTATGGGACTTGTCAGCAATGCGTATCCACGATCCAGTAAGGATGATTCGAATCCATGATCTTCAGCTGGATACCGAATCAGTGTTTTAGAGGTTAGGCGTTCATGCGTGAGACTGAAGGTTGTGGGTTTGAATCCCGCGTGCGGGACCGTGGCTTCACACTGCTGAGGAGTCCCATACTAGGGCTTCCAGGTATTCAGTGGTGGTTGAACATCAATCGATTCATGAACTCAATCAAAAACTTAACAGTTTCCAAAACACTATACTGGTAATATTTTAACAACATCAAATGTTACATACTTACGCCTGTTACTCCCGATGGAGCATAGGCCGCTGACCAGCATTCTCCAACCCACTCTGTCCTCCGCCTTCTTTTCTAGTTCCATCCAATTCTTTTTCATTTTTCTCATGTCTATCTCCATTTCCCGGCGTAATGTGTTCTTTGGTCTTCCGCTTTTCCTTTGGCCTTCAGGATTCCATGTGAGGGCTTGTCTTGTGACGCAGTTCGGTGCTTTCCTCAATGTGTGTCCTATCCACTTCCAACGCTTCTTCCTGATTTCTTCCTCCACTGGGATCTGGTTTGTTCACTCCCACAGTACGTTGTTGCTAATGGTGTCCGGCCAATGGATCTGAAGTATTTTGCGTAGACAACTGTTAATAAGCACCTGTATTTTCTGGATGATGGATTTCGTAGTTCTCCAGGTTTCTGCCCCATACAGTAGAACTCTCTTGACATTTGTATTGAAAATCCTGACCTTGTTGTTGGTTGACAGTTGCTTTGAGTTCCAGATGTTCTTCAGTTGTAAATATGCTGTTCTTGCTTTGCCGATCCGCTCCCTCACATCTGCATCAGATCCACTATGTTAATCAATGATGCTTCCCAGATATGTAAAGATTTTTACATCTTCCAAATCTTCTCCGTCAATTGTGATTGGATTGGTGCGTGCTGTGTTGTATCGGAGAATCTTGTTTTTCCCTTTGTGTATATTGAGACCTACTGCTGCTGAGGCTGCTGCCACACTGTTCGTCTTCTCCTGCATCTGTTGTTGCGTTTAGGATAGAAGGGCCAGATCGTCTGTGAAGTCTAGATCATCCAACTGCATCAAATGTTACCGATTATGAATAAAGAAATTGAACACATTGCAGGCAAGAAGACAGTAATCGGATTATTGGTATTATTAAATAACTATTAAGTACTTCATGATTTCCAATAGTTGTTCAGATAATGTTATACTGGATGAATAAAAACAAAACTCTAGTTTAAATAACAATCATATGCTTGGTTTGCAGTATATTGAAGTGAATTTCTCAAAGTGATTGTAAGAATCTAGAACCAAAGAATAAACACAATCGGTAATGATATAATCACCTATGAATGACGGTAAATGATGATCACACTTTGTTATGAATAAACTGAAGTTAAATATATTAATCATCAGGCTTCAAGCCAATAGTTTGTTCTGATATTTTGTAGGATTCTAACCCATAGACTAAGAAGACGTAAATTTTTTGTACTCTTTGTTTCTTATATTTCCTCAGTACCAGGTTGGTATATCTTTGTATTATCAAGATGTTATTTACTGAAATGAATGAATGACATAATGATATGATTTTTATGTAAGGGTGTATAGTAAATGGATCAGATCAATTATCTAAGCTAACATTAATTACGATCTAATTTTTTGTCTGTCATCTTATTTATTACATAGAAATTCAAACTGTACGTCAAGGTAACAAAATTCACACGTTAAATCCATCTGATGTATCATCTTATGAGAAGAGTCAACTATCATTGATCAAAACGGATATTGAACAAAGTGAGCTTTAATAAATATTATTCAGTAATAATACTAATACTAATACTACCACTAATAACGACTTGACACACATGACATTGATTACCACCCAGTGATCAATCCATTGTGATTACATCTCAGTCCTACAGGAGGTCGGTCGCGGCCCGGATAGCTCAGTGGTAACGTCTCTGACTGTGAAGCTAGATGACACGGGGTCGAATCCGTCAGGGAGCACCAGTTACCTCAAGAGTACAGGTACATCTTGCTGACGAGTGAGAAGTAGCACGAAACCAGGATCCAAGGTTTCCTGTCGACTACCTCCAACCACCATCTAATAATAATAGTACTTCAAGGTTATTAACTAATTATATAATAAAAGTAGTTTATGATTATTGTAATAAATTTTTATATGAATTGTGTAGTTTGATCTTAATTGAATAAGTATTTAAAAAGGATCGCTTATTGCAAGTTGAACAAGGTTGTGTCAGGAGATGCAGTCTCATGGTAGCCGGTGGACAATAATTGGTTCATACACCATTTGTCGCCTCAGGATTTTGAAGTCCATTCTCACCATTGGTTTGGGATCATGGTTTTCCAACTCCCCTAGTTGAACTCTCCGTGTCCACCAACCTAGTCAAGGCACCGGACATTCGCTTTTCGTCATCTCAATTTCGCACTAAGTAGGACTTCCATAGCAGTGGCTGTGTACGCATAGCCATGAAGAGTATTTAAAGAGGGAGAGCTGAATGTCCCCAATCTCAGCTGTACTAGGTCATTTGAGGGCCTATCGCCACATTAGCTGTAAAATATATCGACTGATTCATTTTGATAAGCTTAGAAGAACTGAACAGACTGGAATTTTAATAATTCTGTCAATGTATTGCTAATTGTTGATAACCTATACTGTGATAACTGATCATAGTTAAACTATTATTTCATGGTGTAGTTTAAGAATTCAATAGTCCATTTAGACAGATCGTACTCCACAACATTGTTATGTAATACAATGGTTCAGTGCTAAAAAAGAGAAGAATTATATTTACTGAAGTAGTTTATCACATGTCATATAATTGAAATATGAAATTAAAATCGTATAATCCACATTTTCCAGTGCCCTCAAATGCCTTGGTACGGCCGATAGTGAGGAGAATCAGTTCTTCCTCTTTAAACGATTTAACATGGCCACATGCATATAACCAATGTCAGGAAAGTCCTATTCACTGCCTTCTTCCAATAAGGGTGTTGTTTACGAAATTGAGAGGATGAATCCCTCGAGGCGGGGTCGTGTATACACACTACTAAAAGATCCCATATTAGAACGAAACGGCCATCTAATGCTTCCAGATTTTCCATAGTTTTCTAAATTCAATTAACTTATGATCATGTTAAACCTTGTCAATGATACTTATCCTATTTCAACTATTCTTCTTCTTATAAATTAGATAAGAAGAAACTTTTCATAGATCCAAGAAAGTCAATCAATATACAAATGAATACAAGAACAAATGAACTATTATATAAACATCAAGAACCATATATACAATCCATCAATCCATCTCTATTACAATCCTTATTAATTGGTATTGGTAGTGGTTTATTAATCCTATTCAGTATACTATTTATCATTATATTATTATATCGTAAATATCATCAAAGACGAACTACTGAAATCAAATCGAAATCAAATAAATGTTCAACAATATGCTTTTCTCATACAAATGATGATTGGTCAACAATCAATTCAAATCTATTACATAATACATCTTCTAGATTAGAGATACCTATAACAAATGATATAAAATGTTTATGTTCTATATGTAAATTACCAATTAATTCATATTCTATAATAAATGATATACATAAATATCATAATGAACATTGTCAATGTCATATAAATACGAATATATCAGGAAATATAAATCATTGTAATGTAAATCATGAGCATTATGATGGTAAATCATGTTGTATAACAGGACATCATCAGAATATATCTGATTTATATGGTATGAAAATAATAACACCTACATTAAATCAGTCACCAGTAAGTTTAATCATTTATAATATGCAAAATAATACATACATGCGCATCCATGTGCATCCTGCACGTGAGACTTGGACTCAGGAAGTTCGATTTCGCGTCTGCGAACGCTCGTAGTACAAGTGAGAAGCCGTGAACATTGGAATTAATCCATGTCTAGTAGAGACAGGTATCTACCACAGTACAATGGAAGATGGATTGATTGCAGTTAGACAATAACACCGTTGGATCCCGGCCGGCTCAGTGGTCTAGAAGTTAAGCGTTCGCGTGCGAGACCGAAGGTCCTCGTGGATGAGTACTGTTGTGGAGTACCTTTACTAATATGAAACCGCTAACCAATGCTTCCAGGTTTTCTATGGTGGTCTAACAGTGATCAGTTGATGATCTCAATGAAAAAATAAATAAATCTTTCACTAAATATACTATAATTAAAGAATTGCCACATGAGTCGGTAAAGTTGGGAAAAATGGTCATTGATAGTCGTACTGTTTTTCATCTGATAGACAATGAACACCATCAATTTCATATCAGGTAACTACCAACCAACAAGAATGAAATCGTGTCTTCTCCGAATATGTAAGCAAAATCTGGTGAAACATATCTGGTTATCTTGAGTTACAATCAGATAACCCAGATCCTTTAGCAGCAAAGTATAGATTCTTAACAATGTTAAATCTGATATTTTTCGGGTATAACCATTATTGGATTATTCGTATCTGATATATGTATACGTTGTATGTATTTTCAATTGTATACAGTGATCTTGAGTGCTATTAGAGGTATGATGGCAGTTATCATTTCCCGGTTGTCCAAACCGTGGAAGGGTTCTTCTAGGCGTACACCTGAAAAAGAAAATAGGGTTAGAGGTGGTCTTAGTGAACTGAGAGCGTGACTGCAGTGTCCAATGGACAACTGCTTAAGGTCGATCACATACGACCTTTTAGTGAGTAATTTTCGTGTTAGCTCCGTACTCATTGGAACCTTACCACCGGAGACAGATATCCGTAGGATAAGGCGATATGTTCAACTTAACGTCAACCTTTTCTAAACCCACCCCTCCTTTTGGGTAGGTAGCGCCGCTGTTATACTCGTTGTTTGAAGGAAACACCTTAAGGCGTCATACCTCTGTACAGTTATCAGTACGATATCGCTTTCAAACCTTGGTCAGACCTTAGTCTTACCACCCTTCAACCGACTTATCTGACATGGTAAAACATCGATGAACGATTGTTCCAGCCAGTATAACTCGATTGTCTCATCACGATAGGTAAACCCAACCATCACGTCAAGGTAGCGAAAACGGTATAGCTTGAATATGAAGCTGTTGAAAGCAATAATTCTCTTTCATTTATCCTGTATTTATAGATATTCAGGAAGCATTTTTTTGAGCTGTTGAAATCAAAGCATATTTAAATGAACATGATTATTAGTATGATAAGTTTATAATTTAAAAACTATTTATCACTAATTCTTATGAATAACCTGATGTTCTCTTGACTTAATTTATTATTGAAAACCATCGATATATAACCTGAACAAGCTACATATATAGGAGTGTATTGAACAATAACACCAGTGGGGACAATCGAATATAATTTGAGAACGAAATTACAGAACATCTCATTAAAATCTGAGAACCATAAAGAAAATAAGTTCACTTAGTGTTGTTTTGCTTGAATCTTCCCATTGAGGTTTAAGACTGCAATTTATAAGTCTCTTATTGGTATATATGCATACTGTGCCTATTGCCTCGATATTGCCTTAATTCACAAGCTTTATAAGCAAAGATGGATAGTGGTTAGCAGTGGAATCCAGTTCAACGCGCGTTATGTCCAAGTGAATTTAAAATTCACCCCATTGCACAAGCAAGTGGCTATCGAGACTCAGTAGCTGAGCCGATAACGCGATGGTGTTTGAAGTGAATGGTAGTGAGTTGGAATCCCAGAGTGAATATCAACTCTGAGATGCAGTTATATCCAGCTGAGCTCAAACTAGGACGAAACGCGCCTTAAACTGGATCCCACTGCTAGCCACTATCCACCATACAGTAAATAGTTATTTTACAAAATATAAATTAATTGTCTCAAACTTGACTGTTCCTTTTGCAAATATCAGTCCATCGTCTCAGATTTCATTTTTCATGCATTTTCATACCACTTGCTCTTCTTTCCCGTCCTTTCCCTTTGTATCTTCCACTGAAATACATTCTATGTCTGACGATCGTTATGTACTACTTATGTGGATATAAGTAGCTCACACCGAAGGAATACAATGTAGTTGTAATTAGAATTCATTTAATAAATTTTGAATATTTAAACAACAGTTTTGCTAATAGTTCAAAAGTCCAAATAATGACTTGTAAAATACTATAAAAATTAGAATTCAGGGATATCCAATTGACGAATCATAAATAGAACGAAATACATATCTTAGATCGCCCCCAAATGCCTTGGTACGGCCGAGAGTGGGAAGAGTCCGCTCTCCCTCTCCAAATGCTCTCACATGGCCACGAGTATATAGCATCTTCCAGGGAAGTCCTACTCACTGCCTTCTCGTGGCGGGGACGTTATTTACGAAATTGAGAGGATGAAGAGAGTATGACCGGTTCTTTAACCAGGTTGGTGGACACGGAGAGTTCACCTAGAGGAGTTGAAAAACCCTCATTCCAAACCAACTGTATCCTGAAGGAATAAATGGCGTATGAAACAATCGTTTGTCACCGGCTATCATGAGACTGCATCTCCTGACATTGACCCACTTCCTTGTTGATCAGACCTTCAGGTCGAATGCTCCGAGTGTGGTCCCCTAAGAAAACCACCTGCTTCGGTTTGGGCACCCGGGCAGTATCACAGCCCTCACACACATCGAACCAGATCTTTGTGGCGCATATTTATTTGGTGCCTCTTTGTACCAATATCTATGTGTTAAAATAAATAATAAGTAAATAATATCCTAGATCTCAACTACTTAGTAGAAGAAATGTTATCTGATTAGTTAAGATAATAATAATAATAATAATTTCTAAGCTAACAGTTCAAATATACAATATAGATATTATAGTAATTATAATATTTGAATTCATGACTTAACTGAAACTAGACTATCATAGAAAACCTAACAAAACTGGACAACTGTTTCATCCTAATATAGTGCTCTAGTGTAGAATGCGTATTCACGATCCCACTTCACAAAATTCGAATGCCAAACCTATCAATCTCACTTTTTATATTGATTCAAGCCATCATTACTTCTAGATCCTTTCTAATGAATCTCCCTTTTTTTCTTTTTTGTTTCTTCTTTAGTGTATATTCAATGTATGTCCATTAGATATATCAAATGATATAAACTCTACTTTACTTCCACTTAATACAAATACAATGAATAGTGAAAATTCTAAAAATACAATAAATGATTATATGCCAACAATTACAACAACAACAACAATAACAACAACATCATTATCATTATCATCAACACCATCATCTATCAATAGTATTCATTATGAATATCACAGATCATCTTCATTAGATCATAAATTTCAATCAAATCATATTTATAATACAAATTATATCAATACATCACAATCAATTAATAGTAATTCAACAAGATATGGTTATGATATAAACAATGAAATAAATGATCATCATGATGAATGTCTACTTAAATTCAATCATTATCATAGATTATTAAAATGTGATCGAAAAATCGATTATGATCATATAAATGAACATCGATTACGTAATAATAATAATAATAATGATATTAATAATAATATTATTATAACCGATCATTGTCCATATGAAATGAAAACAATTCCATCTGAAATAATCAATAAAGAAATGATCCGATCACCATCGAATAATCTCACCGATCAAATTAATATTGATAATTGTATTGAATCATTTAAGAAATATAATGAAAATAAATCAATTTATGAAATCAATTCATCGATTCAATCAACATTACAACGAAAGGAGATAAATCCTCAAGAATATGGATGTAATAATAATAGTAATAATAATAATAATATGTATTTATTAAAGAAAGTAAATGATAACCACCACCACCACCAACAACAACAACAACAATTACATAATGAAAAAGAAATAAATCAACAAATCAATAAAAAAGAAAGTAAACAATTCCTAATTCATGATCCCATTTCAAGATGTAATTCATCATTAGATAATGAATCAATTGAAAGTCTTGCAATATCATTAATTGATCCACCACAAAATTTTCGTACATCTATTAATGAATTACATTTAATTAATAATAATAATCATAAATCATCAATGAAGGTAACAATAACACCAACACATAAACCACCGGATGTAATTTTAAAAAGTGGTAATTATCATGATGAAATTGATTTAGAACGACCACCTCCAAAAATGCCACCATTAAGAGGTATATTAACTAATAGATCTATTATAACTGAAAGAAATACTGCATTTTAATTTATTTCTTCTCTTTTGTTCATATCACCATATATATATATTCAAGTACTAATGTAATAATGTATTATTAATAACCAACTATAGAATAATAAACTACTTATTGTCTATAAATTCATAACAAACTTGAAATAATAAACATCATTCAGCGTTGTACATGTTAAATATGATTATGAAAATATTACTAATTATGTTAATTAATTGATTATTATTTTTTGTTGTTGTTGTTGATATTTCTTAATCTCAGAAAGGGATTCTGTGGATATCATAGTAATTTTAATAGTTCAGATCATGAGTCATGTGAAGTTAGATACTATCATGGAAAACCTGGAAGCAGTGAACGGTCATTTTGTACAAGTATGGGAATCCACAGCAGTGCTCAGTCACGATCTCACCTTGTGGGATTTGAACTCAAGATCTATTGGTCTCGAGCGCAAACACTTAACCAACCTCCAGACTACTGAGGATCCATCAGAATCCAATGGTGTTAATGTGTAACATTAACTAATCCACGAAATTGCGCCACCTTCTACCATTATCATCAATGAGTTACTATCTTACAACAGATTCGGTTGAGCTCTACTGCTCATCATTTCTCATTAGAACTAGAGGAAATACTTCTTGAAGCCAGTCACTGTTGTTGGATAGTAACTCACTGAGGACAATGTTGGATGTGTGGTTCAATTTCGTGGATTGGTTGAAGTTAGATTATGAACACCACTGAATTTTGGCCGCATCAATGATATAGAGGTTAGACGTTCGCACGCGAGACTGATAGGTTCTGGGTTCGAATCATGCGAGGTGGCATAGTGGTTGTACAATGTTGAGGAGTCTCATACTAGGATAGAACCACTGTACAGTGCCTGCAGGTTTTCCATGGTAGTCTAGCTTTAATTAACTCATGAATTTAACTACAAAATCTCTTAATTTATTAGTGATTCTGTTAAATGAACCAATTTGTTAGCATTTTTGCCGTTGTTGTTGTTGTTGTCAAGTGTAAATGAATAAGATCATTGTAATATGTTTGTTTGTAAAAAGAGGGTTATATTGTTTATTTAAAATTTGTAAGTATCACTATTAACGTGTGTCTTGATAATTTCAAATAAACTGAGTACTGGATCGATTTTTTATACTAATAATAGTAATAATAATAATAAGAAGAAGATAGTAGTATATTGTCACTCTTCCAATAAGTATAAACTGGAATCTTTATCTTTTCAGCACTTACCATAAATCACTTCTATAGTCATTCTATGCAAATCAGTAATCAATTTAAAGTATAAATACCAAAGTTGAACTTGATTTCCTATGAAGAAGTAACGTTAGATAATACTAGAAATTCATAGTCAAATCTGTACTAATTCTATCAGTCATAAAACAAGTAATGAATTGCTTTTTATTGTAAATTATATATTTTGTATAGTTGAAAACTGAGCATACAATGAATAACTTAATGGAGTAGTTAATAAAATCTATGATTTCTGTAATATATAAGTAAAGTACATGAAATACAGTAGAATTTCAAAGTGGTTATACATTGAATAACAATTCATTACATTGATAATTTCACCCCCTTTATACAAGCTACTGGTTATCTGTATTTAATAGCTTATTGGATAATGTGATAACATTTGAAGTGAACGGTACTCGGTTCGTGTTTCGAAGTGAACATCAAGTTTGGGAGATAGTTACATCCAGCTGACGAGTCCCATATCGAAGGAGATGTGCGTTCTGGATTCCACTGCAAATCATCATCCATTTTTGTTTATAATGCTTATGACTTTATAAAATATCAAGGTAATCCTCACAAGATGGACACATGCCAATAAGTGACTGATCAATTATAGTTCGAAACATCAATGAGAAAATTTAAAGAACCAATACAAAGGTGAATTGAACGGATGAGTGTTTTGCGATTTTTCACCCAGTTGATGTCGTTTCTATGTTTCCAAGGAAAATTTAACATCCATGATGATTATGTACTTTATTATCTCACATTTTTTTTGTAACTTATTGCCAAATTCATTTGTCCTAGTTTCATATCCTACCATTGATCTATTGACCAAACTCAGAACTGAAACAAAATCTACATTCTTAGGACCATGCGAGCCATTAATTCAATCTTTTTTCATTAGTACCATTATTGTTATTATTATATTATTACCTTTATTCAATATCATAGTTTTGGTACAATATAGAATATTCAGAACAAAGTATTTCAGTGAGTTTCCGTTTCTTATTTCTTGATTGATCCTGACGATAAATATCGAGTGGTTGCCAATTAGATGTTAGCAGTTCAGGAATCGACATCTGAATGATGTACATTGATTTCAATGCATATAACCAGCAACCATGACGTATGTGATTAGGCTCTTCTATAAGTTGTACGGCGAAATGTAATAAACTTTTCACAAATGCATTTGATGATTAGGTTATGAGACTAATAGACATGATGATGTGTTAAAACAAACATGCGAAAACAGTAACTTGTTGAAATATCCAGATGGCAGGAACAGGTAGCTCAGATATTCAAACTACTTACTCACATACAAAACACTTAATTTACACTGCTTTTATTCATATGTTCATCTGAAATCTCGTAAACAGGAAGTTTACTCAAAGTCTAATGTAGCAGTTCATGAAATGTGAATTATTTCACCCATCCACTGAAAATAATCAGTTAACTTGATTAAAATTGTATTTTCTTTTTAAGAAATAATCAATATTTCGTATTACAGTACTTATTTTCTGGGAGGGTATTTCGTGGATATTATAGTAATTATAATATTTGAATTCATGATTCCATTAAAGCTAGACCATCATGGAAAGCCTGGAAGCACTGGACAGCTGCTTCGTACAAGTATGGAACTCTTCAGCATAGGACGGTGGTGAAATTTCAGGAACTGGTTGAAGTTAGACATTAACACCGTTGGATGCCGGCCGACTCAGTGGTCTAGAGATTAATTGTCCGTGCGCAACACCGATAGGTTCTGGTTTCGAATCTCTCGAGGTGGGATCGCGGACGAGCACTTTTGAGGAGTCTCATACTAGAACGGGACGGCCGTCCGGTACATCCTGGGTTTCCATAGTGATCTAGTTTCAATCGGTTCATGATCTCAACTATTAGAATAATTATTTGCAAATCTATGTATTATGATGGTCTTTTTTGAAGATAAGTGAATAACTTTAATTTTTTATGAGTTGGATATTTCATAAAACTCTTCAAAAACAGAGTTATTTAGTCGTCAACTAAAATGTTAGGATTAATGACAGATCTAATCATATATGCAGTTTGATAAGCATTATTGTAGTGAATGATAACACAAGCAAGTACAATCAAATGTATTTAAATACAAAATTACAGAATCTCTTAGTAAAATCTGAGAACCAAACTTGACTGTCCCTTTTGCAAATGTCAGTCAATCATCTCAGACTTCATTGTTCCTTCATTTCCACAACAATCATTCTTTGTTCTCCTTTTCTTTTCTTCGATCTTTTTAACCTTCTGCTGCCAGGTATTTCACTTCCAACTGATGATACATGCTACTTATATATGTCGACATCAGTAGCATGCACCACATTATGAGTTATAAGTATATAAAGTGTACAAATGTATTACTTAAATAAACTGAAAACATACAGTAAAATCATTCTCTTCGGTTCTAAATTAGAAGTAAACGTGTAGATATTCAAGAATTATTTAGTATAAGTGCATATTGTAATGAACCGTAAGAACTATTAATGACATCATTCAATTTCAGTACATTAAGCTACACAATAAATAATGTTGTTGATGTCTTTGACTATGAATATATATACTAGTATATCCTAGTGAAGATGAAATTACAGGTAACCTCTGAGAACTATTGATGGACTGAGAACGCTAGGCTGCTCATACCGGTCGAAAGTCATTGTTGTGGCACAGTACTAATATTGTATAAGTCGTACTTTGAATGGCGAATAAACGCCGCTGGCCCTGAGCTCGGGTGAAGGAAGAGGGATGGGCATGAGGTTACCGATCACATCCCATAGAAAACTAACTCGCTAAACAAAACGCTAACCATAAAAAATATTTCAAACCATTTAAACTCTACCCTGAGAGTTAGAAGGTCTTCATTTAGAAGAGTTGTAACGCCTCATGGTGAAATTCAAGTTCCTTCGGAAGTCACGAGGCTGACGCCCCTCCTGACAACGAGAGTAACAGTTAATTTAGCTACATGGAATTGACCGGTGGGTAGTGTCTAGCAGTGGAATACAGGACGCACGTTTCGTCCTATTTTGGACTCGTCATCTGAGTTGATGTTTACTCTGGGACTCGAACCCAGTACCGTTCGCTTCAATTACAGTCTTAAACCTCAATGGAAAGATAAAAGCAAAACAATACCGAGTGAATTTAAATTCACCCCATTGCACAAGCAAGTGGGTATCGAGACTCATTAGCTGAGTGAACAACGCAATGGCGTTTGAAGCGAACGCTACTTGGTTCGAGTCCCAGAGTGAATGTTGACTCTGGGATGCAGGCACATCTAGCTGACGAGTCCCAAATAGGACGAAAAGCGCGTCCTGGATTCCACTGTTGATGAGAATTTAACAGCAAAGTATTCATTAGTTAAATTAATTCTATATTCCCGTTTATATTTCACGTTCATTGTTATTCAGTAATTTTCAATCATCAAATGTGTTCTTTCTTTCTGAATAAATTATTCATATTTATCTGTCATTGAATTTTAAACTATTTTTATCTCTTTTCCATGTTTTTTTGTTGTTGATGTTGCCAGATTTGGTAATTTCAACTGAGAAATTGATAGTGATTAACCAACTGTTTTACTCAGCATTTAATTTCATTACATTCAAACACTTATTCGTTTACACCTGTTAACCCTTAAGGATGAGCATCGACTAACCACAAGCATTCACCATCGAACTCTCTCCTAGATAAACCTTTCCACTTGCTTTCAGTTGCTATTCATCCTATTCATGTTTGCTTCCAATTACCGACACAGTGTGTTGTTTGGTCTTCCTCTTCTCCGTTTACCTTCAGGATTCCATGTTAGAGTTAACCTCATGATATAGTTTGATGATTTTCTCAATGTGTCCTATTTACTTCCAACATCTTTTCCTAACTTTCCATTTAGATGGTATCCGATCAATGGACATTCAGTATCTTGCGTAGACAACTATTTAGAAACACTTGTACTTTCTGATGATGGTTATAGTGGTTCTCCAAGGTTTAGCTCCGTACAGTAGAACTATCTTGATGTTCGTATTTAAGATTCTGACTTTGGTGTTGATTGATGGTTGTTTTGAGTCTCATATGTTCTTCAACTATCGGAATGCTGTTATTGCTTTGCTAATTTTTGCCTTTACGTCTGCGTCGAATACTCCTTGTTTATCGATGATGTTGCCCAGGTACGTAGAGGATTCTACCTCTTCGAGGGTTTCTCCACCGAGTTGGGTTTGCATCCAGTCAGGTGATCTGTATATTTTATTATTATGCTCACTTTGCACAAACGAATCACCTTAAGTACATAATTCGTTTAAAATATTAACAGTTTTGTAGGTCATTGAAAACGGCAAGTATCAGAAACATTTACGAACCTTTTAGTCTTCCATGTTGTTTACTGAAAATAAATATGTATGACATAGTAATAATCCATTGGCCTCATAGATAACTGACAAAAGATTTATAAAACCCTTGTAAATCTTGGAGATGTAAATTATTTAATAATTGAATTGATGAGTCAATTGAACCTAGGCCACCATGCAAAACCTGAAACACTGGTCGACCGTTTCGTCCCAGTATGGGACTTCTCAGCAGTGTGCGTCCACAATCCCGACCTATCAGTCTCGCGCGTAAATGCCTAATCTCTAGACCATTGAGACGGACGGCATCCAGCGGTGTTAATGTCTAATTCAATCAATCCACGAACCTAAGAGACATTTCCATCATTGTCAACAGTGAGTTACTATCTCACAACAGATCTAGTTAAACTCCACTTGTCAACACTTCTCACTAGAGTTCCAGGACATACTTCTTGAAGTCAGTCACTAGTGTGCATATGACGATTATAATCAGAAAAGAAGTTTTGTGAAGATTGTAATAATTTAATAATTGAATTCATA